TGAAGTCGCAGGCTGCAATACATATCCAAACAAGACAACATTTAAAAGGCAATACAAAGAATTCAAGTTTGGTATGATATCAACTAGCTATCTCCACACAGAAGTTTTGTAGCAAGACAGAACAAACTTGACGATGGCAGCCACAAACAGGAGATAAATTTCACAACTCCTACTCAATTCACTGCCAACGGTTAAATTCACAATCTCTTACGAGCAAAGGCCATAAATTTACAGAACCAGACCAAACRACAAACAACACTCAAGGAGMAGTAGAGTTTTAGAATTCCAGAGACACTGATTATCAGATATGGCGTACAATCGATATTCTATTTGCTTTTAACAGTTCAATTTCGAGTTTTCTCAAATATTCATAACTCTACAAGCTATCTAATGGAAGAGAAAGGGTTTTGATTTACCAACTCAAAGCAATATTAAAACCCAAAAAAAAAAAAAACTCAGAGCAATAACAGATCCTCGAGACAAATCTGAAGTGTGGCTCAGGAGGATCTGCTTGTCGGCTTGTTCGATTTGTGAGGAAGATTTCACGCAATTACGACGGCGGAATCTCGTTCCTGGAAGTTGATCTTAATAGATTACAAATGCGGAGGTTCGTCGGAGAAAGAAATGACGACCAGAGGAAGCTCGCCGGAACCGGAAGAGATAATCAGTTTCGACAATAGTTTTATCGATCAAAAGAGATTTATTTTCCTTTAATAAAATTTGTTTTTTAATCTGATATTGAATTAATAATTGTTAAAAATTATAATGGTATTATTGTGATTAAATTTAGGTGTGATGGGTTAACCGATTTTTTACACATTTTTTATTAACTGTTTTTGAGTGGATGCAGTCTAGTAATATATGAATGAATGCTAATCTGTTTAATTTTCTGTTATGTCAAATCATCAATGTAAAACATCTGTTGCATGCTCTTCATCAAGCCAAAATAAAGGAAACGTAAGTGGCATAATTAGTATTGCAATGAAAGCATGCTATAATGACTAATTTGATGCTCACGTTTTTTATTCTTTTTGACTTTTTGAAATCAAGTAAAGAGATATTGTTTTGTGATTTGAACACAATTCAACAATTTTTGACCAAAAAAAAAAAAACACAATTCAACAACATAAATAATGAATTTGGCCCATTGGATTTATGATCAATCCTCCAAATCCACTTGCATATCTCAATCTTATTTCAAGTCATTTGACTAGATTTAATTTCTCTCAGTTACAAAAATCATTTACTCAAAGGTTAATTTGCTACATAATAAAAAATTAAATAGTAATTAGGAAAATGAAAAAAAAAAAAACAGCGATTCCTTTGCTCAATGCACTATAGAAAAGGAAATTTTAATTATTAAATTTTTGAAGGTAACCAGTGACCACAGTAACAAAAAAACAATTTTCATATTGTCTTTATTTGTTTTATTTTTTAGATAAAACAGTTGTTTTCTTTTGTATTACCTCTAATGGAATGTGTGTAATCGCCTAAAGAATGGCTTATGAAAAAGAAAAAGAAAAACATTATTCAAATTGTCTATTAAGGTGAAGTAACCATATGAATAGGCAAGATAACGAAACCTCGGGGAACAGAGTAATTTCATTTTGATAAATCACATAAAATTTTGCTCCTAGTCAAATTTATGTAAACAAGTAGTAAATCATTGTGTTTGCATTGCTTACATCAATTTTAATATCGAGTCTAGAGACTAAAGTAACTGCTAGAGAGATATGTTAAGAGTCTAGATACAAATACGTTAAGAGGTTCCAAAAAAGATACTTGCTTCTAATAATGGGCATATTATAAAATTATAAACTACCTCTTTTAGGCTGTGACCAATTCTCT